GAGGCTGCAAGTCTTTCAAGGTTGGGCAGCCACCTCCCGTTTCAACTCTTATCACTCGGGAAGAGATTTCAATGGGAAGCTAGTCTCCATCATGGTCACTAGAAAGGGGTCTGAAAGAATACAGCCCAAGCTATGGGCAGTTTTTATGTCAAGGTTAATGGGGTTTTGAATGTTTTAAATTTCCTTTCTTTCTGCTTGTCTTTATTTTATTCATTATAAACATGACTTTCTTTTGTAATTAAGAATTACACTTACAAAAATAAGCCACCGAAACTACAAAAAGATTATTTCACTGGCAATTTTGCAGAATGCTTTGTTTTCTCACGCTGAAGGAAACGTACAAGCTAATCTTAAATACCACATTAAGCATTTTTCTACTCAGAAACCTTCAGTTGGGCCTCATTCTCTACCACGTTGAGTCTTACTTCTTCGCTCGAATCTCAGAGCCCTCCGACATCTGACCTTATCTTATCACTCAGCTTTATTTCTCATCTCTCCTCCCCACACCCTCTGCTCTGGCCACTCACCTCGCTGTCCGAGAATGGTGCCACACTTGTTACTCTATCCACACCTTGACTCATGTGCTGTCTCCAGCCGAAGCCAGGTCCTATATATCCTTCAGTTCCCAGAAAACACCACCTCCTTCACGAAGCCTCCCTTGACTCCTCCTCACCTTTTTCTGTGAGTTCCTTTGAAATTTAGAATTGGTACCACTCAATTTACCACTTAATTAAGTGTTTCGTACTTTGCTAATATAAATCTTCTCTCTCCCAGTATAAGCATCTTCTTTTTATATTCCTTCACAGTGCCTAGCATGGGGTTGAAGACATAGTAGTTGCATTTACTTCTCAACTAATTCCCACGTTTTATGGCCTGTTACTTTGAGTAGGAGGTATTTTCATGGATGAGGTCCATTTGAGGGCCAAGATGTTCCTCCCAGCTAAAAGGAGAATGTGAATTCAAATAAAGGAAGAAGGAGAAATACATTGTAGCAAAACCATACCTGAAAAATACCCAAATGAGGGCCGTCTCAATGTGCTGCTAAAAACTACACTTCGGTGTTCAAATTTTTTAAATCCAGCAATTTTCTGGCCACACACGACTTCTTTCCTTACCGCCCATCACACAAAACTCCAGAGAACACTATACACGCCTGTCCTCAAAATATGAAAATGGGTGGTCACCACCCATGCAAACCAACAGTGATCTCCATAGCACTCAAAGGTCTAATCTGCATTGTAAGAAACACCTAGCAAGTGTCAGAAGACAGGTCATGTTTGCCAGTTCAGTAGCTTGCAGCTCTAAGTTTCACCCAGAGGCCATTCCATAGTGGGATGGATAGTAATTGCGAAGCAAGTTCTAAACTCCCACGTGCCTCTCCTTCAGAGAGCAGACCCAGATCATAAGATGCACTCAGCTCAGCCCTCCATCACGTGACACGTGGCAAAAAAAAAAAAAATGGGTTTTGTGCACATCCGTCTGAATTCGGTGTCCCAGCCTGGGGGAGGCAGGAGGCATTCCGGTTGAGAAAGTTTCCTGGGTCTTGGAAATGAGCCGTCAGGCAAGAGTTGGAAAATGACTTTGTCTTTTCTGTCCCTGACTACTTTAGTTCCTTTGCTCTTCTGATCATCTCTGTTCGCTATCACCTTACCATTTCAGACTCAACGTTGTTAGGTCCCCGTTTAAAAATCTAATCATTCTCCCATTCCTGAGGAAAGGCATCCCACTTTATAACCCTTGACTCTCCATTTTCCAGGAGGTCTGACCAGAATCATTAAAATGTTACTAAGTCCGCCTCTGAACTTTTGAGAGAGCCGAGCCTGGGCAAGGCTCTCTCTCTACTTCAGTATGAATGATGCCAGAAGCACAAGTTGGGGATCTTTGGAAAATGTTAAGCACAAAAATAATATTCCAGGAAATAGTGATTTGAAATAACTTTGTTTAGTTAACATGAGTTTATTAGGGCTTTCTCATCACAGTACCAACAGAGAACTTAAAGTCTATACATGTATCACGTGGTCTGGGTTTGTTTGTTTGATTGGTTGGTTTGTTTATGTTTTAGGCTTTGATTTTGAAAGAGAGCTAATTTTCTCCCCCCACAAAGGAATAGCGATGGGCTATTGCGTCCACTTCCACGTGACACTTTAACTTAGGAACATATAGGGGAAGAAATGCAAATTGTAATTACTGTTCAAAATTACAAGAGGAAAAGACATAGTTTCAAAATTAACTTTAAATCAAAATAATTTAATTATTATTGTTTGAGAATCTTTACATATTGTTAAATATTTACCATTCAAGCTTTACTGTCTGAAAAAGAAATTGCACTGTATTTTCTTAAGAGTAGGTCAGTTTCAACTGGCTATTTACGAGACTATCATAAGTGATACAGCCTTCAGAAAAAAATCAAGAGTCCAGTATAGAAACTGAGCCACCTCTCTGTTCATATCTTTGAAACAGGTGAAAATCCAGTAGGATTTTTCACTGGGGTTTTTGGTTTTGGTTTCAACAGTGGGTAGTTAATGTTCGACAGTTAGTTAATTTTAAAAATGGCTGAACATGAATTAATGCCTAACTGCAAAAAGCCAACTCTTACATGGCGCTTACTATGTTCCTGGCACTGTTCTAAGTGCTATAAACACATCTTAACTCATTTAATCCACACAGAACCACCAACAGGTGGACACTGTTATGCACAGATGAGAAAATCTGAGACAGAGATGTCGCACAATAACTACATGAAAGAGCCAGGACTCACTCTCAGGAAGCTGGGCTCTGAGTCGTAAATATCACACTTTAGTGCCAGAATAAGTTACTGCAACTTCTCCCACCCAAAGATCCTCTTCCCCAGATATTATGACGGTTTTCACGGCAAAGGATAGGTGCAAATGGCTGAGTACACGAGAAGACACGAATAAAGACACAAAAAGTTCAAGTGATTTGCCTAAAATTACTCAATGAAGTAAGCAGGAAAAGATCCAGTAGCACATTCATAGGTATTATAATTCTCTCCATCTTGGCTTTAGTTTTCAACTGACAAAACACCCACTTCCACCCACTGCAATTTCTGGACTCTTAAGCATTATTACCAACTAGAAGTAGAGTTGACGGAACCAGGACCCAGCGAAGGATGTTCTTTGAACACAGGTGCACAATTCCACATGTAACAGGCACGGTCTAATTGGCCAAGCTTGCTTTCTTTCCCCTCTTTGGTGCTACTAGAAGCTTAAGGTATAATGAATGAGTGAGAGAAGGATAAAGATGGCTTAACACCCCATCCAATAAAGTCTCTTTACCAACTCCTCCTAACTCCCCACTGCCTGGGGCAAGAATTCTCCACCCACTACTGTGAGTTGTTTGTGTTGAGCAGTTTGTGGAAGGAATTCTGTCTCTTGCTCACTGACATTGTCCTTGCCTCTGACAATCTAAGGCATCGGAATTAAAATTTGCCCACATTTCCTTTTCTGAGAAGGGAGAGCCTATTTCATGTTCTGAAATGACCTAATGGTTTCATCTTTGACATTTCGGAATAATTTTCAAGGGTTTCTGTTAAATTCCAGAATCAAAAGGGGAAAAGGAGAACAACCAATTCATTGTGTCCTTTTCTTTTCCTGTGCCTTTATCTGAGAGTGGTCTGTTTTCTGGAAATGCGGGGAGAAACAACAATTATTTGTTGGAAGGCTGGATCCAGACACTAAATTACAAAGCATGATTTACAATATTGGAGGAGAAAGATCTGCCCACCTGTAGATTTGATCTTCTTTAAAGAAGACAGACGAGTAGGGGACTTTTTTAGAGTTTAGTTTGTCTTGTGTTGCACCCCTTAATTCGAAGCTATTCAGTGTATTTTCCTGAATCAAGAGCCTAAAAATGGACATGCCGCAGCTGTCAGCGAGAACGATGAAGAAGATCAATACGAACTGCCACAGCGGGGGAGATTGGGGGAACATTAATTTAGCATTGTGTGTCTGTGAAAGATTGCACATGCAGGAGAGTTTAATGTTAGCATTAGGAGACAGCCCAGGTGGGTGCTGCGGGGGGAACCTGTGGTCTTGTTTGTTGCAGAGTGTATCACCTAGCAAATTATACTAACAGCAGGACCTAAATCCTTCAAGGCCGGGTTTCTCATAAGCCATTTATGCTGTTTTCGTCATTTCTTTGGTGGGTAGAAGTGTGGCAAAGTATAAAAATTATTGAACGCCTGGATAATTTTTATTGCATCTGCAAGGATGTGTTGAGATATTTTGACACTGCTTGAATCATGATTTGTCTTGTGCCTAGATTTGTACTGACTCCTTTATAGCAGACTGACAAGTAGGGGACTTTTAAAAAGATTAGTCTGTCTTATGTCACACCCAATAATTCAGAATATTAAACTGAGGTCTAACTTACGCAGTCAACGCATATCTAAATTTCCTTTTCATCATCAAGTATATGATTAACACCAGGAACAATTTTCCTCACCCACCCCCAAAGTAGTTCAAATTACACCTAGCGAGAAGTTTAGAAGCACTGATAGTTTCTCCTGCTTACATATGTAGCTTTTAACATGAGCTGTTTATTGGTCATCGAATTGCTTAAGGGTCAGAAATGCATTCTTCTCATAATGTTCTACAAGATGGACCCATAAATGTACATTCTCATTATAATGTTCTACAAAACAGACTCATTAACTTTTCTATTATTTCTAAATTGATACACCCAGTCCATCAAAACCTCACTAGGGAAAGGGCGTATTGAGCACACAAGGCAGGTTGCTCCACTGTTAACTGATGGAAGGGTCACTGCATCTGGCTTGTCTTTTTTCCTTCTGCCTAGCAAAGATGACCTACCTGCTAGACCACTGATACTCAGACACCTTTCCTTTTTGGTAGAGTTCTAGTGAGGAGGATCTAGCGGAACCAAAATTATCTACCAAGAATTCCGTGGTTAAGTGTGATTCCAGACTTCCAGCAATTGACCAAACATCAGTCAAGCAGAAACACAAAAGCACCATGACCAAAAGAAAACCAGAGAAAGGGAGCCCCAGCAAACCCTCTCCAGGTGAGCGCTGGTTTACTAAGATCCACAAATTCTAAAATGCCGGTACTAAAGGCAATGACGACAGTCGAATGGGTGATGCGGGTTATTATACCCAGTGTTTTCCAAGTGGCTAATTCAGGTTTTGGAGGTCTGATGACTTGACACAAATGGTAAAATTCACTTTGAGATAGAATATCAGGAGTGAATTATGCAGAGTAAGTGTCTCCACTGCCAGCATTTTCTGCCCAGTCATTGGCTTTGTGTGGCTCTGGCCTAGAATTTTGCCGCCTTTTCATCTTTTTCACCCTTCTGGGGGGATAAAGGCATTTGGCCCCAGGTATCAAGTTTTATGACTCAGGCAAGGGCATGAAGAAGAGCTTTCACAAGCATCTGAATGGCATAATTTAGAGCCAAGAAAGAAAGTAATAAAGTCCTCCACTTCTGGGGTTGTCCTCTCTGGGAGAAAAGGGGGCTTGATAAATCCTCCCTTTTGTGCAATTTGGTAAATAATTCACTCTTTAGCTGCCTTTGAAGCCAAGACCAGTTCTCTGCTTGAGGCAGAAGTGATTTAATAGTATCCAGAAAGGGGATAAATTCAACTGAAAGTTTACAGTCCCTCGGGCTCATCCCCATCAAAGCCAACTTCTGTAGGACAAACTCAATTCTTCTGGGAACTGACGTTGAAGTTGGAGTAACTGGGCAGAAAGGTCTGCTTTCTGCTTGCCGTGGAATGGAAATGATCCAAATTAACTGCCAAAGAATTCCTGAATAGCATGCAATTCACTTACATCCAAATCACAACGACTTTCTAATCCTAAATAGCTCCTGTCATGCAACCAGCCGTCCAGTTCAGTCTTAATGCATTTTTAGAAAACGGCAATTCTCTATTAGCCTCCCACATTTGATTGCTTTAATGAATTAAAAAACAAATTGACTTCTGAAATGAAGTCCTTTCAGGCAAAGCCCAACTCTCTTTCCTTATTTAATCGGGGGAGAGAAAGTATTGTCATAGTTAATTTCTCATTTTGAAGATTTTTAGTAGGAATCAGATTTTTAATTCAGCTGTTTAAGAATGAAATAGGGCAGATAAGATCATTCCCCAAATATTTCAAAATACATGTTGTAATTTATTGAATCGAGGATGTTTTTAATAGAAAAATTGAATTTAAGTTTAAATAATGCAACTCCATTCACTTGATATAATTTTTAGCCTTCTTTCTAAAACTGGGTAGCTGTTCACATGGTGTTTTGTCGTCTGTGGAGAAAAATTATTAGAATGAACATTTTAGGCCCACTTAATGATTTTTAGCTTGTCTATTTAATACAGATGTAAGTTCTCCATATGGAACTTACAACACTGACAAAAAGGATGACTTAATTCACTTTACCTTCCGTAAGATGACAAATTGGAAGAGTTACTAGATTGGAAAACACCAAGGTTTAGGCGAGAGAGCAAGTTGGCAGGAAGATCTCTATTTCATCAAACGAGGAAGATCACTTGTATTGAAAGCCTTTAAAACCCATCAGCTTTCTCATCACATTATGGCCCCAAACCTGTCCCAGACCCATGTAGCCGTGAGCAGAACCGTGGCCTGGCTGTCCAGCAAGTGTAGCAATCCTGGTGATTGACGTCAGTTGCCATAGAAGCCAAGTCTATTGTGAGGCAAACTGGGCTGGTCGTGAAGTCGGCTAAAAGCAAAGCCTTGGTGTACTAAGATCCATTTGACTGACATGTGTAGAATCATCCTCAGAGTTCCTTGATTAGCATAGCAAAATGAGAGCCAAGAGACATGGTGAGTCTCTTCAGGAGAAGTCCAGTTGACTGGTGGTGACAACTGAAAAAATTCAGATAAATACCCTGCTATTATAGAAAAAGACGATTTGGGACCTGAATTATCTGGACACGCTGACCCAATTCACCAGGTAAATTTATGGTTTCCTGCTTTTTTCACCTCTGTAGAGAAACATTTTCCAAAAGCGTTTTGGGAGCAATCCAAAGTTGGTAGTGAGTCCCCAAACTTCTTTCCCTCTCAGACCTCAGATTCTGTGTAAAACCGAAGGATCGAACACAGTGAAATCCCTTTGCAACATCTGCCCGATTGGTTAACCTTCCATACAGTGTTACGCCAGACTTTTACTGAATAAATCAACATAGCTGGGGAAAGCGGCTTGACTTACATGCAAGTCTACGTAACAATAATCCATGTCATAAAAGAGTTTCTCCTTATATGTGAACTGCCATCTAGAACTCCTAAAAATGACTATTTACGATATAGGAACCATCAGTGCCTTCTACATGTAGATTAATAACCGAAAAGGCATTGGATTTTCTTTGTTCTTCACACCCTATGAGGAGGAATCCAGGCGTTTTAAATGAAGGTCATACATTCCGTGGAACTGTTTCTAAATGAGTTGGCTTGTGCTTACCCCTGCTCTCTCTCCATGCAGTGGGGTGTGCGGATTTGGGGCGTGCAAGAGCGTTGACGTCAGAATGCTTGCTTTAGCACCTGGGCCTCATTTCTTATTTGCTATGTACCTTTGGACAAGTAACTTCTCTGTGCCTCAGTTTCCTCATCTGTAAAATGGGGGTGGAGGGGATCAAAACAGATCCTACCTGCTACGATTGCTGTGGAAATTCAATGATAAAAACACACGTTCAGTGATTAGAAGAGCGCCCGCCATCACAAGCCCTTGATACATCATAGCATCATGAACCTAGCACATGAGAGCTGCATTTATTAGGGAGAATGAACTAGAAAACTGTTTTGTCTTAATGTTGTCCCCCTCCCCCTAGTCTTTGTTTCCTTTGCCAAAAAAATCAGTTATATTTTTTAAATCCTAACATAAATGCAGGCACAGATGCTTTTACTATACCCTGAATTTCCAAACCAAAACACCAAATGGAAAAAAAATAATAATAATAATCAGAAAGCATTTACCAAGCCAGAGATTTGCTTTATCACCAAAAAGACATGGAAAATCCAAGCAGAGTCAAGACCCGACTGGGTCTGATGTGCAACTGATGCAGAAATCCTATTTCGTGATTAAGGTGAACGCTGATACAGGGTGAGAAATAAGCCTAGCAGAGTAATGTATTCTTATTTCAGAATTCTGGATGTGATGATCAGTGAGAAGCAGAGCAGTCCGCAAGCCCAACAAGTACAGGGGGACAGGGCAGTACAGGGAGCCATGGTGGCCGCCAACCCTCCTGGACTCCTTCCTGTTTCCCAGACCCCGCCCAGCCCCAGCCCCAGCCAGAGCTGGGAAGGAGCCACCTCTCCTTTCCCAGGACACGTGGAGGCATCCAAAGGCCTCTGTGCTGTGGGGTTCTGGCTCTGGGGTCCTAAAGCGTACTCTACCCGGTGCCAGGCATGTGGGGAGAGAGGGTGCCCCCTCCTGCCCTCTCCTCTCACCTAAAGGTCGGGCATAGCCTCCTAGTTATATGCCAGGAAAATGGATCTGGATGGAGTCCTGTTAGCCTGCTTCCAAAATCTTGCCCTTTAAAACAAAGCCAAGCATTCCGAAATTATCCCCACTTATTATCGAGTCCAACGTTAGTCATTACCACACTCGGATTTGTAAGAGCAGCAAAACCAATTCAGCCTAATAGTGGCTTATCGTGAAGACATGTTCTTATATAACCGAGGAAAAGCAGTGAATTCAGCTCTATAAAGATAAACATCTAAAATAACTGTGGTCTCTTTTGAATTGGGAAACATTTATTTGAAGAGCATCTTGGAAGAGAAATTTGAAGCAAATCCCAAATCTTCATAACTCACCTTGCATGTAAATTCTGATGAAGATTTTCTCTGAAAGGCCAAGATTAATAGGTTTCCAGGCAAGTCCTCTGGTGTCCAACAACTTTCCAAGCCATCTGCCCAAGTTAGAAAACAACCAACATAAGTAAATGCTCCCAGTCTATACAGATAACCATAATCCTCGGTTCCTCTATGATAATGCTTCCAAGACAGGGGTTCAGAGATGTCACAGAGCCCAGAATTTGAAGTCCTGACTCAGAATCCTCATCTACTACTTTATAGCCCTATAAATGTGAACTGGCAACTTCTCCAAACTCAGTTTCCTCATCAGCAAAATGGAGTTCTTACCTGCCTCACCAGGTAGACAGGAGGACTAAAATCCTGGGTCTAGACGAGGCCTTAGGTAAAGGTTAATCCCCAGTCCTCCCTCTGTTTGCGAAGCCTGTTCCCAACACCATATGCTGCTCTCAGGTTAGCATCTTTATAAGAGTTTGAGATGTAAGAAAGGTTATAACTTGATTATAAAATAGTTTAACTATTTGATTAGCAGTCAAATTTATCCAGTGTCTGTGGAACGCTAGCTAATACATTCGATTGCCCCCACACTGCCAGGGTGCATGACACTGGGGTGCATGGGTTTTCTCACTTGTCAGTAACCCGCAGAGCACTGCAGCATTCATTTACTGCATGCTTACCTGCCAGCCACTGCATGGGTCCCGAAAATACAGAAATAAAACACAGAGGTCCTGCCCTCCAGGGGCCCATGGCCTAGTAGAAGGGCAGGACGCCAGTAAGGTCTCAGAGCTTTGGGAGGGGTGAACAGGGTGAAAATCCCGAAGGACAGGGAGTTTAGCCAGGGGCAGAAGGCAAGAAAGACAAGCCCAGCAGGATGTGCTAAGTGTGCAAAGACGTAGAGGAGTGAGAGACTGACAGAGAGACGCTGAAGGGCTACAAATCGTCTCGGACCTTGTGTCTCCGGGTGTCCCCAGACTGTAAGCAGAGGTGTCACCTGAGAGCTTGTTAGAAAAATGGAACCTCACGTCCCAACCCGGACTTCCTGAATCAGAACCCGCCTTTACCAAGAGCTCTGCACAAACCTGCCTTTAACAAGTTTGAGAAGCTCTGGTTTAGGGTCAGGCTACAAATCAGGAGGTGTAGAGTGTAAAGTAGACACCGTACAGGCAGGCAAGGACCAGGTCCTCAAGGGCCTTGAACGTTATGCTGAAGAGGATGGAGCATCAGCCAGGCACGGGGGGCTAAGCA